ATTGGTTTAGGTTAGTTTAAAGCACATATCTAGTTCCTGAGGACTTTGTAAGTATCGTTGTATTATTAGAATTATATGACTCAGGGTTTTAGTCGTAATAGATATAAACCATTATGTTCTTTGGCCCATTTACTTACCGCAATAAATTTAATTAAGAAAATGTTGTTTCGGTCCAAAATTCTTCTTGTTATTACTTCTCAAATTTTGTTAAGATTGCGAACTGTCAACATTCATATGATAGGTTGAAACGCTGTTTTTATAGGTTGTAATATACCACAAAGTTCAAAATAGTAACTGAGTGCTGGTCAATTTAATTCATATCATTCTTTTAAATCATCTTTGTAATAATTTCTGTTCTTGCTCAAATCCACTTTTAGAGCTGAATTTTTAAGATATTACAATACATTTTTTAAGTTTATATTAACTCTTTATATAAAGATAAAATTTCAAATCTGTTATGAACAATAAATTTTTGAAATTTATATTCCAAACAATTTACTTTATGCCAAATTTAATCTTATCATCTAAGAAATTCTCAAAAACAATAAGCAATATAACATTTATTTTCAATAAATTTTTGTATAAGGAAATAATAATAAACAACATAAGATACCCATATATTCAACAAAATTTGATTACATTTCTTGATAATTCTGCAGTAGAAAAAAACCGAGGAAATAGTATAATCAAAAGGTACATTCACTAGGCGATAACAGTAAAATGGGATGAAAATAGGATAAATAGCATCCATATATAGTGCCTAACAATATTTATACGGGCCAAAAAAAATTTGGCTAGAGATTTGGCGAGTTATAAAATTTAGAAAATTGAGAGGGATTTTTATTTTTGAATTTTTTTTTGGAAAGTTAAAATTGCGATTAAAAATCGATTTCCAGGAGAACTAAGCATCTCATCATATATTTAAATCGATAAAAATATTAAATAATAGTTGAATAGTATAACAACGTGAAATTATGGCTGAATCTACAGAAAAAATGAACATATTTGACATTTTTGAAAATTCATACGTTAGATGGTGACAGACTCATAAACTATACTTTAGCTAAGATTGATATATGGTTTCAACAACACATGGTTAAAATCGTAAAAATATTTTAGATTTAAAAAAGATATATATGGTAATATAATGGAACAAAGTCAACAAATAGCATGTTAAATATGTTATAATTAACTTTTTATTAGATCCAATAGTAGATATCGAATGGTTTCCAGCTTTATGGTTAAATATTTTCTTTTCGAGCTTCTCTTTAACTGTTGTATTAAGGTTGTAAATTTTTGATGCTAGAAACTATGGAATCTTCTTTGCTGCTGCATTTTTCTTGAGAGTTCTTGCAATTTCGAATAGATCTGCGCATTGTATGAAATGGAGGCTTTAAAATATCTTGAAAACAGAATAGGAGTGCTTTTCCAAAGGAATGCTGACTTGTAAATCAGAGAGTTTCAAAATTGAGAGCAAGATTATCATCATAACTTTCGATTTTGCTGCGAAAAAGGAAGACAAGTAATTAACAAATCATTTACTGTTGTTCATCAAAAGAAGAAAACTTTGATAACAACTAATGATGATAAAATCAAGCTATCTTTTAATATTTTAAATTGATAAGACATTCAAAATATTTGAATGGTTTAAAATATTTTCTTTTAATTTCTATAAGATATTATCATGATTATATAATCAAATTTAAATTTTTATTCAAAAAGGCAATATTTCAAACTTTTAATTTCAAAAATCTTAATTCTGCAATAAGTGTATTTAATTGTAGCAAATTTAATGATCCTTCGTCATGCTTAGCAATTTGGAACTCATAAATTAATGATTTCTTCAAGTAAAATTCTGCATTATTTCAAAAGTCAATAATTCTCTAGTAACTTTTCTTCAAACCCCAACCATTATATTATATGTATAATGGAGAATAATTGCAAAGAAAGATAGCCGAATTTACTGGGTAGTTCGGGCGCGTAAAGGGTTGGCGTCCTAAGGCGTCCTGATGTAAACTATTCAATTTTTGAGAAGTTTACACCATAATTGAATAGTTTATGGCGTCCTGAGAGGAGATTTCAATGGGTATGGCGTCCTAAAAAAATAGAAGAAAATGATTTTTTCTCGATTTTTCTAGAAATTGAATTTTTTAAAAAAGAAAAAAATCAAAACGTATACATTCAAGAAAGACTATAAATGAAGATTTTTCTATTTTTTTTTCATTCTAAAACATCTTGAGTAGGTGACAAAAGTGCATACTCTTAAATTAACCTTAAATGTTTATTTTTCGATATTTTCGGTATTAACCTTATTGTAAATTTTTCCGGTGATAAATTTATCACACTGAGGTTATTTTTCCGGTGAGATTTTTAACCTTGATTTAATGAAATTAATATATATAAATTTTATTATTTTTAATTTCGAATGAGTATAATAAAATATTTTTTTATATCGTCATAACTCTCATCACTGTTGTGATTCCAAATGCGATTATTAAGGTTCAAGTCGCTAATGTTTTGAATGAGATAGAGCAGTAATTCTTACAAGGGCAGGTAATCAGATTGTTGAGCAAAGAGCTTCAAAACACGATGAATGTTTGAAATTAATTCAACACATTTTGGAAATTGTCGAAAGCCGAAGGATTGAACCTAATGTCCTTATTCCATCTTTGAAGACAATATTAAATTTGGCACAAAGAAGTTTAAAGGAAGAGTAAGCAAGATTAGATAATTTGGACTTTTTTTAAAATTAATGAATAAACAGTATATTTTTGAAGTGTAAGCTTATTTACCTGAAGCTATATTACTTAATATAACATTCAAAGTATTATTGCTATTTATTGGAGAACAAATTTATGTAATTTTCACATGAAAATTGATAAATTTGTATTTCCTTATG